GCTAATTCACTAAGTGACAATGATGACATATGTAATAGTGTAGGTTATTAAAATTACTTTATTTCATTCACTGAATGTATGTGTACATCTTTTTGAGACACTGTATTTAACTAATTTACTGGGCAGAGTACTACAAGCACATAATTTTAAACATTACATTTGCACAAGACATGTTTAAAATAGCATAAATACCAAGGAATTTTTGAAGTTTGGAAGTGCATAGACTTGTACCATCATCAATGAAATAATAAAAAAATAAAACTGCTTTGTTACTTTCATTTACTCATGAGCTTGGTCCAACTTAAGTCACATTACAAGTTAATTTGCAATGTAAAGTACCAATGGAAGATCACAATGATCTTTGTGTTAGTAATTCTCGTAAAGTACCAAGGGAAGACCACAATGATCTTTGTGTTAGTAATTCTCTAATACAAAAAATCTGTTTATACAGGGATGGCCATAAGTCATGATAACATGGTCTACAAGACAAAATAAAATGTTCACCATGATGAAAAAAATAAAGACACTCTATATGATGATGGATATGTGCATCATCAGGTGAATATGATGAGTGGGCAAGAAACTGTTGGAAGTAGGAGGCAGAAGAGTGTCGCATGACATGCTGTAGTAGTCCAGATTTCAGATCTGCAGAGGATTTTCCTTTTATGAGTGTGCTATAACAAACACGTTTTACACAGAAGTAATGACCTTCTATTATGTTTTAACATGTTCTAATATTGTCCATGGTAAATACAAGTCCATTCACCATCAAGGAGCATTGTGTGTGGGGTCACAATAATAAAAAGAACTTTGTCTTGTGTTTTAATAAAGCAGATCTGAGACCAATTTATGTAAATTTTAGAAAAATATCCCTAACTGGTTTTGTGTTAAATGTGAAATTAAGTGGAAGATAAAAATAGCAGATGTAAGTGCTCATTTGGAGGTGTCAGTACTTCAATCGTCCAGAAAATCCATTAAGAAATAATATGTAGATTTCCAGATTTTGAGAACCTCCATGAGACATCTGATGAGGAATGACGCCTAACACAAGTATTAACCCACAATGATAATGACATGAATGTGTGGCAACAGGCATGTGCAGTTTTATTGTATACCTTCCCAACCTTGGCATCCTGCCACAACAATATGCTCACTGATGAATGAGTGGTATATCTCAGCACAGGGTCTCAAGATGTTAATATCTGGGGTAAACAAAATCCACATCTCTTTGAACAAGTAGCATAGCATTCACCTCCTTTTATAATGAGACGAGTTACCAGTGAACTGATTACTAAACCATACTTCTTTCCTGATGTCTTTTACTGTGACTGGTGAAAGTTATCAGAAACTATTGTCTGTCCGACTAATTCCAGAACTTGATTATGTGGGTCTTCTAACCAGTGTAGGTTTGCAACAAGATGGGACACCAGCCATTATGCTGCTAGCATGCACACTTTCCTGAACAGCAGATTTCCACTGTGGATTGGATAATGTGGCCCTCTCATCTGGCCTCCTTGAAGTCCTGATCTGACCATGTGTGACAACTAGATGTGGTCTTTTTTTAAATAACACAAAGCACACTGTTTCTGAGTTAGAAGGGATAAATTCATTGTATCTTCTACACTATTAAACCAGTAAAGATCCAACAGGCCTAGCAGTTCAATTGGTGATGAATGTGATTATGTGTTGATAATGATGGTAACTATAGCAACTGGTTATGTGGCTGTGTGCTATGGCGAGTGGTGTGACATTTGATAATTCTATAACGTGCACTGATATCATATGTTCCTTTGTAACAAAAATGTTTGCATACTAAACCCCTACACTTGTTATGCTTTCTACAACAAGTAATCATGACTTTTGGCCATCTCTACACATTTCCTTACTGGATACAATCAACAGGACATTGTTATCACTGTGTAACATGGCTGCAAATTTATATACAGTGATGTCAGTCATATTACGAGCATAAACACTTATGAAGCATCTCACCTTTAACTCTAAGTGTTGCGTCACAACCTCCTTCAAACCTTTATACAGACGTTCACCATGCTTATGAAGAACCATAGTATATGCATTTCTATACAATTCCTCAAAACTTAGACCTGAGTTGTTCTTCTTCTGTATTCATAGTATGTGCATTTCTATACAATTCCTCAAAATTTAGACCTGAGTTGTTCTTCTTCTGTATTTCCTGTATTGCATTTCTTAATAAAGCCCAAATGCTCTCCACATACTTCTCATCCATTGTCATCTATAAGAAAGAAAAAGGCAACTTTATCCAATACAGTAAAACATGACTTAATTATTCAACAACCTATTGAAATTTTTATTATTTCACACAATGTCTTTTAAATGCATTTACCTTGATGTCAACACAGCTATTTATGAAAATTTAATTTAAACATTATATTTTGGTATATTAGAATTGCAACTACTATTTGAATTTGAACAGACTTCTGCTGTTTAAAGTATAGCTAAGTATTACAAATACCCTGAAGAAAACGTTTTGTTGTTACTTCTTTCATTAGTGCAAGTGTTAAAGCATTCACTAATGACATAGCGCAATTTAGTAATTTAGGGTTCCATTCGTAATACTAGTAGAAGTCTTTCCATCATGCCATCATACAAATTTCAGAGGTGAAATTGCAATGAGTTATCAGTTTCTATTCTCACATATAAACATGTTGTGCAGCCACACTGTTATTTTCCAAAGATGGCTGTCTTCTATTGATGCTTCAACTCACATGACATTCAGACTTTTTCTGTTGATCAGAGAAAGTACAAACGTCCTGAACACTAATCTAATGTACCACCTACTTGCCCACTAACTGTAATGTTTTGCTTGCAAACTTCACAGAATGATGTTATGTTCCTCCTTGTCGGTTGCAGTCAATAATATATGATATTTTTTTCTTAGATTACTTAAGGTTACAGTTTCATGAATTTCAAGCTGGTAGGGATGCAGTGTTTTGATACAATGTCACCCCCTCCCCTAAAATGCAATTATGTAAAATTAACAGATATTCACCCTCTCACAGCAAAACAAATCTGTTTTACAAGCAATGACTGTTAAGAATTAATTACATTAAATTCTGTCTCAGACCGCGTGGCTACGGCGCGGGACCTCATTATTTAATACCTCTAATTTTTTTACGTTTTCTGTACTGCCTCATATATTCTGCATTACGGACTCTTTTAGCTTCAATGTCATCCATCTTGTTATCTCTACATAGTATGACGCAACGCACAAACGCAGCAGTAGCGTGAAGTGCGATGCGCCTTTATCCCTTACCCCAAACTTTGTTCAATTGTAAGAGACCACGATGTCCACCCACAATGACCAATTTAATCAAAACTAAAATGGAGAGGGTGAAGGGCAGTATCACAGATTTCTTAATAATTCTTATGTAATATAAGCACCTGTGGTATTCTGAAACGTTTTTAACAGCACAATATTATCTACTCTACGAAGCACTTCTTCTACAAGCGATTCACAGCAGAGCTCTTTCAGCAATAACGAAATCGGATTCTTGATGGCAGTAATGAAACACAACAATGCCGAATAAACAGATGACGTTTCTTATCTAACATAACAATGCACGCAAGCTGACCATTGTTGTCGGTCCATATTTACACATTGTTGATAAGGATCTTACACGTTTTCCTAAAGCTGTTTTTGCCGAATAACCCTTCCGTATAGACGTATTTATGTCAATATTTACGTCAAAAGAAGAAAAGCCTAATTCTCTTACACGAGTTCACAAATGCAGATGAAATCATTAAATGTAATTAACATTAATAATAAATAGGAATCCCTTACCTCAAACTTTGTTCAATTGTAAGAGACCACGATGGCCACCCACAATGATTAATTTAATCAAAACTAAAATGGAGAGAGTTGAGGGCAGTATCACAGATTTCTTAATAATTCTTATGTAAGATAAGTACTTGTGATATTCTAAAACGTTTTTAACAGCACAATATTATCTACTCTACGAAGCACTTCTTATACAAGCGATTCACAGCTCAGCTCTTTCAGCAATAACGAAAGCGGATTGTTGACGGCAGTAATGTAACACAACAATGCCGAATAAACAGATGACAACAATTAGTTTCCATGGCCTCCTCAGAGGAGAATTGAGGAGGCCATGGACCGAATACGGCCATAGAAGAAGAAGAAGAAGAAGGTAAAGGAGAAACCCACAAATACACAATGCAGGGTTATTAATCGTGAAAGCAGGTGGTACACATACTTACCACCAGACTCTTAAGGGTTCTAACTGTTTCATCAAGATTTTCGGCTACTAAACATGCCTTGTTGTTTTAAGCATTCGAATTTCTAATTGTTTACTGGAATATTCAATTGCAATCAATTTTTGCCGTACATAACAAAAGTCAGTCTAACATAATTTGAAATTGTGTTAGAAAGAAAGAAACTAGCTTCATTTTCTTGCAAGTGTTCGTAAGTATTAAAAACCACATGTAAGTAAGATTTGAGGTTTTCACAGCTGTGAGTATGAAGATTTCTGTCTTCTGAGTTGTTGCGCTGTGTAGTCTGGTCGATGAATCGCCCTGATGACGGAGGCAGTATGACCTCTGAAACGTTGGTTAACATCGACCAGACTACACAGCGCAACAACCCAGAAGACAGAAATCTTCAAACACATGTAAATATGTTGATAAATAATAATAACAATAAAATAAGAAAAAACCTTTACCTATCCCGTCGTTCAAGGAAAGGAAACTAGATGTTCCCCAGCAATAAACAATCGAATTAATAACAAAATTCAGAAAATGTAAGGCACTATTCTTCAGTAACACAATAGCACAAAAGTACTTTGTAAAGACGCACTTCTTCTACAAGCTATTCACAGCTGACTTCTCTTCAGACTACGAAAAGCTGATTGTTGACGGCAATACATACTAAAGAAATACAACAATGTCAACGAAAACTATGACGTAATAATTTTAATTGTTATGCCAGAAGAAGAAGTAATTTATAAAATCAAAAAATCGGGGTGTGGCTGTCGGGGACACGGCCGTGGGTTTTACGTGAATACGTCTGCGTGAGCGGGTAATATTTTCTTTGGGATATGGGAATGAAATGAAAGTAACGAAATGGATACATGGCTTTTATTTAGCATAACAAATATACAGAGTCTTAGCTAGTAATCGATGACAATTACACACTTTGTGAAAAAACTCGGGGTGTGGCTGTGTCGGGGACACGGCCGTGGGTTTTACGTGAATACGTCGAGGTGCTCGCGCCGTCGTTTGCCGCGCGCGCCGCGTCGACTTTCCGACGTTCCCGAAGCCGTCTCACTCGTTCCGCCACGGACATGGCGGTACTGATCGATGGCTGATTAGACGCCCTTTCAGATGAGATGCGTTGCTTGTATTTCCTCTGGGCTTGTCGGTGAGTATGGGCCGACATCAGAAAGTTTAAATTTTTCACGATTTATTGTTGATTTGTCACCAACAAATATATTGCAAAGTTCACGTTTATGGCTGAAATCGACAGATCTAGACGAGATCTTTCGTTTGGCACCAAAATCAGCGCGCTAGCACATAGGAGTCGCGATATATACTGCCCGGAAATTTTCGCCCACGCCAAAAATGGCCGCCAGTCGCCGCGGGCCCCCACCCGCGCCTCGCGTATGCGCGGCACCATCTCGAGGTCATGCTCGCATCGTAGTCGTATACCCGATCGAACGAGACCACATTTATTTCAATCGTGTTATTAATTACGAAGTTATAGTGTCGGAATGGATCACCCTGCAAACGTTACATCGCCGTTTCCGTCCTGGTACCCCATATGTCGGTCTGATTTTAAAGACGTATTCGCGTCAAAACATTTACTTACATTGACAGACACGCAAGTAGTTCATATAAAAGCTGACCATTCTAGTTCGATATTTACATTGTTGGTAATTGAAAATATTACAAAGAGAATTACCCTATGTTATAATTAATATCAAAAGTGTTCTCTATAATAAGGAAATAAATTTAAAAATAATGAGAAGAGGCACGAAGAAAAAATTGCAATTTCGTGAACGAAAAAGTTGACAGTGGAACCACGGTTCCGGAGAATTTGACGTAAATGCGTCTCTGTATTTAAATTATATTTACGTCTCTGTAATGTAATGAAATGTCATCCATCCTGTTACGAAAGCGGATTGTTGACGGCATTAATGTAACGCTACAATGCCTAGTAAACAGATGACTTTTCCTAGCGGATTGTTGACGGCAGTAATGTAACGCAACAATGCCTAGTAAACAGATGACTTTTCCTAGCTATGAATTTACTGTATGATATTTGAGGTTCTCACAGCAGTGAGATGGATTTGGAGGCAGTATGTTCCTTTGAAACTTCGGTATCTACATTGGGCCTATCCACAAGTCCACACAGCGTCACAACCCAGAAGACCAGCACCAACTGTATGTTCTCTGTTTCCCTGTACATGTCACAAGCTCGTCTCAGTCTTTTACATTTAACCAGTTATCATCAATAGATTAATGTGTTCATCACATACCTTCTTTATTTTCTACTTTAGTTAATTCGTCTTAGGTCCAGTTATTTTTCACAGAACTCAAACATCTTCGTTTCCTACATGTCTTAGGGTGACAGGAATATTTTCGCACAGACATAAAACAACATTTAAATTTACAGAATTTTGTATATTTTGATCTTTAATTCTTTTTAAGGCCACCAGCAATCAAGATTGAATGGTTCTGACTAGTTTTTTTTTCGTACTTTATAGGCGCGGATGGATTGAAGGAGTTTCAGAATCGATTTTTATACAATTATCTAAGCCACTGTGCGGCACTTCAAGATAAGCTGCTATTAGTTCTCAGTTTATGACCGAGTGTCCTGGAGCAGCATTAACGTTTTATGCTCGTATTCGAATCTCCAACGAGTTGCTGACTATCCTATTTCAGATTTTCCTTAGTCTGTCTGGTGACGGTATGGTACCTTGAAATAGATTGTCTGTGATCTGAAATTGTCGATAATTTATGTGCTTATATTGAAAGTATCCTACGTTTTCCCAGTGTGAAAATGAGACCTGTGATGACGGAGGCAGTATGACCTCTGAAACGTTGGTAAACATCGACCAGAATACACAGCGCAACAGCCCAGAAGACGGGAATCTTCATACTCTGATGACGGAGGCAGTATGACCTCTGAAACGTTGGTAAACATCGACCAGAATACACAGCGCAACAGCCCAGAAGACGGGAATCTTCATACTCTGATGACGGAGGCAGTATGACCTCTGAAACGTTGGTAAACATCGACCAGAATACACAGCGCAACAGCCCAGAAGACGGGAATCTTCATACTCTGATGACGGAGGCAGTATGACCTCTGAAACGTTGGTAAACATCGACCAGAATACACAGCGCAACAGCCCAGAAGACGGGAATCTTCATACTCTGATGACGGAGGCAGTATGACCTCTGAAACGTTGGTAAACATCGACCAGAATACACAGCGCAACAGCCCAGAAGACGGGAATCTTCATACTCTGATGACGGAGGCAGTATGACCTCTGAAACGTTGGTAAACATCGACCAGAATACACAGCGCAACAGCCCAGAAGACGGGAATCTTCATACTCTGATGACGGAGGCAGTATGACCTCTGAAACGTTGGTAAACATCGACCAGAATACACAGCGCAACAGCCCAGAAGACGGGAATCTTCATACTCTGATGACGGAGGCAGTATGACCTCTGAAACGTTGGTAAACATCGACCAGAATACACAGCGCAACAGCCCAGAAGACGGGAATCTTCATACTCTGATGACGGAGGCAGTATGACCTCTGAAACGTTGGTAAACATCGACCAGAATACACAGCGCAACAGCCCAGAAGACGGGAATCTTCATACTCTGATGACGGAGGCAGTATGACCTCTGAAACGTTGGTAAACATCGACCAGAATACACAGCGCAACAGCCCAGAAGACGGGAATCTTCATACTCTGATGACGGAGGCAGTATGACCTCTGAAACGTTGGTAAACATCGACCAGAATACACAGCGCAACAGCCCAGAAGACGGGAATCTTCATACTCTGATGACGGAGGCAGTATGACCTCTGAAACGTTGGTAAACATCGACCAGAATACACAGCGCAACAGCCCAGAAGACGGGAATCTTCATACTCTGATGACGGAGGCAGTATGACCTCTGAAACGTTGGTAAACATCGACCAGAATACACAGCGCAACAGCCCAGAAGACGGGAATCTTCATACTCTGATGACGGAGGCAGTATGACCTCTGAAACGTTGGTAAACATCGACCAGAATACACAGCGCAACAGCCCAGAAGACGGGAATCTTCATACTCTGATGACGGAGGCAGTATGACCTCTGAAACGTTGGTAAACATCGACCAGAATACACAGCGCAACAGCCCAGAAGACGGGAATCTTCATAAAGCTTCTCAATGTGAAAATGTTTCCAGAGTTTCTCTGTTATTTCCGCATCATCCGCATCATCCCCAGCACCCTGTCTTCACCCACCCACAGTTTGTACTCTTCTCTCGACGTGAAAGAACAAGTTTCGCGTCCTGGTATGACAACAGTTTCAGTTTAAAAAGATTAACCGGACGCAGTGTGTAGCTGCTTGTGAAGGAAACGGGTCGACATGTAAATCTTTATTTTCTCTGCTGCAGCCTCCACTTGCGGACCGCCCTACGCCTTTTCTGCTCTTTGATGCTGACCCCATAATGTTGATTTAGTGAGCGGGTCATTTGGGACAATTGCTTGGGCTATCCGCGATGCAGTCGTAGTGTGGCGGTGATCATTCAGTGGCGGATTTCATGCGAAGATGTCTTGCCTCTTCGCATGAAATCACTCTCAGTGTAAAATTTCGTTTCCGACGTTTTTGTGGCTGGGAACTGCGAATATTCTCGCTTATTAGAAAATCCTCTGCTTTTAAAGAACCTTAGGGTTCATTACCGAGTTCACAAAAGTCAACAGTTTGGCCTGTCTTCAGCCAGTTCAATCCAGTTTAGATTCTTTGTCAGACTTCATGCCATTGTCTGTCATTCTCAAATTCTCTAGCATATATTGTTTAGTTTTTACCAACAGGAGCTCTGTAGGCCTAGGTATTTGTTTTAGTACGTTCTGCATATTCCTCCAAAACAAATCTGAAAAATGTCGACTGATACAGAATTTGATAATATTGATGTATGAGTTGGGCTTACAGAGTTTGTTTCTGGTGACTCGGTCATTTCGTCCCATAATATCCTATGGAATATTCATCCTGAATCCTCCACTGGTGTCTCCTGAAGTGAATGATGTTTTGGAAGACGTCCGAATTGGAGTAGCAGAGGCTGTTTGGACTGGTGCCACTGTCTGCTGTCCCACTGGCACAAAGTCAACCATATTTAACATAATTACGTAACAGGAGTCGCGCACGAACTGGTGAGGTTCTTGTGTCAGAATCTTCAAGCTGTCCGCAGCCTTCCTCTCATTCTTGATTATCATGCAGCGAATGTGAGGTGCACAGCGCAGGTAAGGGCGGAAATCGCCTGCCTGGGCAGTCCCCCCACACGCGCGGATGTTGGGATGTCTGTGTTTCTGACAGGAAATCAGGAAGTAGGCGTAGCCTACAGCATTGTTCCTGGAAAATACCGCAGTAGACAAGACGAATGTTGTGTGCGAAGTCTCATGTTCCTTCCCTAAACACAAAAACGTGTTACAACGTGTTTGATAATAAATTTGACGTAACATACAGAAAATGTCACCAAAAGACACACCGCTATGGTAATCTGGAAGCTGAAAATTGGTTTAGGATGTCTTTACAACTCACCTGCAAAGAAATCTTGGTGCGGAAGCCATTGAAGTTTCTGGTCAGTCTGTACAAATTAAAAGCCGCGGATACGTGAAACCG